AGCCAGGATTGATCGCAATTTGTTCAGTTCCAATTAACATATACTACATTAGGCATACACATTGAAATTTGATTTCTTGAATTTGTGAGGGCGCAAAACTTACCTCCTTTAAATTAACATATCATGTGTAAAATTAAAACATTTCTAATAAAACTCATGCCCACATATGGATTTGATTAATGACAAAACTCAAAGCTGACAAATGATTGTAGTGAAACCATTCGAGGGAAATTTATTTAGACCGTTTTCTAGGCTTTTAGTAATTTAAATATTACTGCTATACTAAAACGAGAAAAAGAAGAATTTACAAGATCTTGACGCACGCTAACTAAATGAAACCCTCGCTTTGCCACGCGACTATTAACATCTTAAGATCGCTTGCTGATGGTGCCACGTTGGCCACATTAGGCGGCTCTAATTCATTTTCATCACAATGATATTTAAGAAAAACCTATAAGCTTTTCAGAAACAAAAATCTTTGGGAAAAGAAAATATTTATTCCGGGCAACGCCGAGGATATCCATAAGGTGGCGGCAAATCGCTTTGAAGCATTGTTACTTCACAGTTTTATGCAAATGTCATTGTGTTTACAAAAGTAACTCCAGGTAAATTATGATTACAACAATTCGGTCTGGGACACAATTATTTGTCGGGGCAATTATCCACGGGTACGGATGTATGCAAGTGAAAATGAGCGATAGCGTCTTGTGGGCCGCGTGTTCGTCATTTAATGTGCTTAAACGATAATTACCAGCTGGAACTTCATTTCATCCAATATCTAATTGAAAGTTCATATTCCATAATTATATAGGTTTATCAGAGAGCACCTTACGTTCTGCACATTTGAATATGACTAATCAAATATACTATTTACTGCTACATACTTTCATTTCATTTGAATACATATGCTGATCACAAAACATGGACTAAAATATCCACAGGTAGCATATGTTTTGTGATAGGTATTGTGTATATATAACCGAGTCAAATCACAAATTAAATCACTTCATTTGTTAACTCTTCTAATTGATACTAGAGACGATCAACAACAAAGTAAGTCTATTAATATACTACTGGGCAATGAGAATCAAATTATTACTTGCTGCAATGGGTTCATTTATGTTTCCTAGGGTGGTATAGTTTGGGGGGAATGTCAATGAGATTTTTGCTTGCATGTATGTGTTATTAATATGTATACTTGGTACTCCCGTAGTGTATGTACCAGGTTGTGGTTAGTCCAAAATTTCATTCCGATTTTCCTTATTTTATTTCTATTACGAGTTCGGGGACTGTATGTGTTAGCTAAGTGAATATAGTTACCTCCATATTGGTTCATATACTGGAGTGGAGTATATTCTGCAGCATGTGTAAATATCTTCAGTATCTAATAGGAGTCTGATGTAAAAGAAGCGAGGAACGACTTCTGTAATTTTCTGTGTTTAAATTGATATGTTTTTTTTTCATAAAATTAGCTCATAGTTTTTTGTACATAATAAATTTTTACTTTGTTCTTATATATTAACATTTATACTTTTTATGCTCAGTTTAAAACCATGAACTCGAAGGTTATTGTTTTCATCGCACTGGTGGCAATACTTGCTGTCGATAACACCCAAGGGTGGAAGTGGTGGAAAAAGGCGGTGAAAACAGCCAAAAAAATTTGGAACCATCCGTGAGTTCTCATATTTAACTTTATGAAAACACAAGAAACAATAACATGAATTAAATTTCACTCGGAAAGTTGATTTTTGTTTAAATCAACGTAAAACGTATCCATCCTTTCATTCCAATTCCGAATCTATATATTTTCTTTTATTTCATACATGGGTGGCAATTTATGGATATTACTTGACAATAAAAAAAAAACTTTTTTTCGAATATATTCTACTCTTAAGTCTACCACAATAAGGTACATAGAAAGTTATAAGCCATATATTTTTTTCAGTGTCACCAAAGGAATAAGAAAAGCGTTTAAAAATTGGGATGCAATTACAGCATTGAGAGAGATGGTAAAAAATTATTAAATTCTCAGACATATAATGTATCGTATGGATATTATTACGCGTGTTTGAGTAATTTACATTTGTAGATAGTGTAGAACTATCTATATCTATACTATCTATATAACTATCTATAAATGTTTTTTTTAAACTAGAAATGCTGAAATATATGGACACACAGACCAAAGCGAAGTAGTATCAAACATTCCAGTGTCCCAGTAGTCTGATCACCATATTGTTGAGTTATCACGCAAAACTTCAAAGTGAAAAACGAGTCTCCTAGAACCCCCAAAAAATTGAAATAAGTAAAAGTAATAGCCTTCCAACGACAATCTTCAACCAATGAAAAAATTCAAAGCATTTGGTTTAGTAAAAAAAGATAAAGTTTTTTTTTCCCACTATGGCAGTATCAGCAAGATGGAAAAGAAAAACACTAACAACATAATAACAAAACGAATGATATGTTTACTTCGTTTTCAACAATTCCCAGTTTATACATTTTTGAAAAAAAGAAGAAAGTATTTGCCGTAGCCGAATATTTATTATGTATTTCTTGTATTATTCTTCCAACATTCAATACACCGTACTCCAAATTCACTTTGGCAATATTTCCATTTCAGAACGACAATGAGTACGAGAGCATAATGGAAAAAGTGAGAGACGATCTTGAAGACGATTATACCGAGAATGAACTTGATGAGCTTTTTGATGCCGTCAACCGAATCAGAGGATTGAGTGAAGGTAAATTCTATATATAATTGGTCGAATATCTCACGTCATCTATTATTAAACAGGCGGATAAACTGCAGACTGACATACTTCCAGGTCTTACTTTAGTCTTACTGAGAAGTTCTCAGATAATTCTTGATGGTGCATGATTTGCTAAATAGAACTAATTTCGCTCCGAGCTAATGTTTATTAATCCTACGCTGTTTCGTCGCACTTTTGACTGTGCTTATGAAATACCCTTATATCATTGAGCAAAAAGTTGATAGCAAGGCACAGTTTACTAAACCTGTGAAGTAAAACAAAAATTCTGATTAACTATCTTCTAATTGCAGACAATTTCATGGCTCTCAAGCTGATGACCGATGGAGTTGATTTTAACGATCAAGTTGACGCAAGCGATGTTGCCAAGGCTTTCGCCCGCAGTTTGTTGAGCCAGTAGTTCTTTGACAAAAATTTTGACACAGTTAATGTGTTAAAGTGTTCTTTCTTTAATGAATTTAAATAAAGATTGCATGAACTGAATTATTTTGTGTTTCATGTTACAATAGAATTAGAAAAAATTGCCAGTTATCGAAATAGGGAGTAATATATAGGGTGTACAATGGGAATTTATCGATACCATATATTGTTTTGTCTCGCACCGATGTAAATGAAGTAAGAATACTTTAACTAATTAAAAAACAACAAAACTGGTCAAGATATATTGAGAACTGACTTCGTACCAAAATTTTAAAGGGACTTTATGGACACCCTGTATATGCGTACTACATATATGAACATGGAATAAATAGAACAAATAAAACGCACCATATATTAAATGCGATTGAATAGCGATAGCCCTTTCTTGGTCGTTGCTCGATGAACAAAATTATACATTACGGATGTGGAAATTTTCCGATTAATTTTGTACGATTAGGTGAAAGAGGAATCCGCACATTATATGTTCATGTTCGATTTATTTCACAATTAATACATAACCAAGTGACAAATTTGTGAAATGTCTTTTATAATTTAAACATTGATACTTTAAGTTTGCTCTGTTTAATGAATACTTCTTCCGGACCTCCTGAAGTATGCCACATTGAGATGGCGCACCTGGCCAACCTGAGTCAGGTTATCATGTTAATTAAAATTAAAACTTTAACGAAATCCAAAGCGGAAAACTGTTGGGTTACCTATTTTTATATATACCTGCTGTGTATGGATCATTTGTGTAATGGAAAAAAAAAGAAAGGATAATGGGAGCAATTTTTACTATCATATGAGCGGTCGGCATAGGCAAAAATTTGATGCTTACTCTTTTTGTTTGGCGCTCGATGAACAAAAACTTAGAAAAATGGAGAAAGATTAATTTGCAATTTTCAACTACTTTTTATTGTAATATAATACAAAAAAGGCATAAATAAAATTGGTGAATGGTGCTATATTCATGTTATAGCACTCAAATCGTTGACTCTTCAGCTTTGGATGTTCGACCATCATAAAAAATCAAATCATGTTGAATGCCAATTTAGTATTTTTGTGTTATTCAGAAACAATTTTTGTATCAGATTCAAAAGTAAAATCCCACAACGCGAATAAATATTACTTACATTCATGTCGATAGCTGACAATAGGAATAATTTGTAGCGAATGTTTGTTGCCAGACTTATTCATAGTAAAAAATGCGCAGATGGTAAGAAGCAAACTATTGTGTATGCATTACACGTATAAGTCTGGCAACAATAACTAAAGTTTTATTCTCTTTTTATCAGTGCATTGCATCAAAGCAACAAAATTCAGTAATAGATTATTTTAATAAAATTTTTCCTGATTTTAGGACTTCACGATAAGATTTCATAATCACCTAATACTTAGATCCAAGTTGTCAATAAAAAAATTCAAACAGTTACGTCTCACGATAACGAAGAATATTCATTGCACGATTTTCTTCTTTGTTATTTAAGAACTTTATATCATGAAATTACTTGTTATCAACATGTCGCAAAACCCATATGGAATAGTTGCATGATTTCTGCTGCTTATGAATATCATTGTTTCCAGGAGTATGTTTTCATCGTATGTTTTGAGTTAAAAGCAAATACATAGATAACTATTTCTGTATATATTTTAAGTGGGTATTGCAAAGATGTAAGATTTGCATCAGAAAATGTTTCATATAATGTTGAGACAAAAACAGTATATTATGAAAAGGTAAAATAACTGAATTCATTAATCAAAACACAGATCTTAAACTTATATATCATAGTATGCTTATTAAATACTGTTAGATTGGAGCAAGTCCAATAACAATAGCCTAACCGTTGGTAAATATAAGAATTTTAAAATGAGTTGCTCTCGACAAACAACTTTGAGCCCTGATAGTGGGCATATTATTCACATTGAAGACTTCAAAAAAGGTGCAGAATGTACCTGGATATTCGATGTGGAACCGGGAAATACTTATGCCATTTTGATGAACGTTATGTTTTCTAAAAGAATGAATTGCAATAAAGCTTCATTAAAGATTGGAGGTAAGTTGCAAAAAAACTGTAGGATTCAATTATGTTAGATAGTCATATTCACTGATTAGTTTATATAATTTAATGTTGCAGTAAAGTGTGATAATTCAGTAGTTGCATAACTTAGCCATTTTTGCCCCAGTTTTCGCTTATTTATAATAAATATTCGAACATGTTTCGTCACTTAATACCTTCATACCTTAATTAAAAGCTTTGGAAAATGTTTTTTTGAATATTTCAGATTCCTTTTTGTTACTCTTTGATTAATTCTTATATTTTGCGGTTCAATAATTTTCCTGTTCAATATACTCTATCATACGCATTTCAGGAACTGAATTTTGTGATAAAGAAAACCAATTCTGTATCCTAAATTCAAAAGACCAATGCAACGATGAACTACTTATGGTTCCGGGTTGCCAGACTTTTAAGATTGATGGCTCACCTGTGGTGGAGTACAAGGGCAAGAAGACATCAAACGGGGAAATTAAAATGTACTATAATATTTTAGAATGCGAAAATTCAGGTAATAGACTTGACGCTAACCCAACATAAACTAACTTTATTTTTATTGTCGCTAGAGGACTATTGCTTTCAAATATTTCTGTGGGCTCTATGGGAATCGTTCTGTCAATTTGAAGTTTTTTTCGATGGTATCATTGAAATTGACAACCGTGTTGCGGTTCTGCGGGAGCATTTCAGCGATATGGTTGTCAGATTGATACTACGGATTTGATACTACTGGTTTTGGCCTTTATGTCCATATATTGAAGAACTGCTTCTTGTTTTCTTATCACTCAGTTTATACATTTGTATTTTGATTTGAATTAGAACCTCCAAAAACATCAAGTAAAAACATACGACGTCGAATACCAACAACACAAAAAACAAAACTACCAACAAGTTCATCCACTCTGAAATCTGGAATTAAAAAAGATTCACCATTCCCAACAATATATACAACCAATAATCAAACTTATTATAATCAGACGGAGCCAGTAGTACCTAACATTCATGGTAAGTTTAATTCACAAATGAATTGGGAGACTATATAGAATACAAATTAAGCAACTTGGCATAATCTCTTTCCTCGAAATAGCAATAGCATTCGTTATATCGTAGTCTAAAGTCTAACTTCTTCAGAAAATACAAGATTTAACTAAAAATTTGAAAGATTGTAATAATCAGTCGAATTACTGTAATAGACTTTGAAAATTTTATACGAGATTTCAAAATTTGATTTATATCAACTTGGCTGACTGTCTAGGCCAGGGGTTCTCAGCCTGGGGTTCGCGAAGGATGGCAGTCGAGTTTTTGTGTGTGTTTTTTTTTTTCAATATTCTTTAACTAAGGAAAACTAAGTAACTACCAGATGAAAATTAATGCTACTTGAAACTCATTGAAATTTTCACTGAAATCGCGTTGTTGTGATTGTGGCGCAACAATGTGAAATGCACGAATTTTCAGCCAAACTGGGAAATCTCAAAGACAATGTGCTGCGAGCATTGCAGAAACTGATGTGCTCATCGAAACTTGAGAGAGATTTCAAGAATTCATTAGTTGGGTGAAGGACAAAGGCAATAACATCAACAAGAATATTTAATTTGGTTACAGCAGTTGATCAATAAATTGGGGGGATTGGGGGGGGGGGTACCTAAGAGGAAAAAGATTGAGAACCCCTGGCTCTAGGCTAAGTGACGTGGATGGATTCTGGTCCAGTCGATTTGTATAGTTTCCATTGCTTGTTTTTAGCGTCTTTACGTATTATATTGCTGTTTTGTATTTAAAGAATACATTTTTTTTGAGTGCACCATAATGCTAGAAATATATGGGTATCACAACGGCAATAAACAAAGGTGTACATTACATCAGTGTTGGCATAAAAAGCATATATGAAAGAAATAATATTGACATTTTAAAACCAAAAAGAACTTCCAAAATCGATTGAATGTCTCCAATCAAAATTATCGTAATAATAATTGGATATATTATTGAATATAATATGTCTTTTATTTCATAAATATTTTGTGTACCTAAGCATAGGCATAATAGTAAATAGCCACAAGGCGCAGTAAAAATATCATTTCAACTTGTGATAGAATGATGGTATTGAAAATTTAACCAAAATAAATAAGACCTCTTTGTTCCTTTCAGGTTCACAGAAAGACTATCACATGACTGATGTGGTTTTGCCACTAATACTCTTTTCTATCCTATTTGCTGTGTTGCTGGTTTTCATGCTTTATACGAAGTAGGTGTATTTTCCAAACGTCCATTTTTTTATCCGTCCTTTTTTTTTTAAGGAAAACGTCAGGAACGCCCATGTTGACTCCTGTCTAAAAGCGTTTGGTACTCCTGAAGTATGCGCACCAAGATGTCGCATAACCTGAACAATAACCTGGTACACAACCCGAGTTCAGGTTGTGCGCCATCTTGGTGCGCATACTTCAGTAGATCCAAATGTTTTTATTTTATATTTCTAATATTGATTTTCTTAACATGACCGAAAGTTTTTTTTTATAAGCTTTAAAATGAAATGTGTAATTGTGCCACTGTCAGGAAATTTTTTATACGTTATTAGAGCATAAAACTTTACCATAATCAGTAATGTACAAACTTCGATTCAAAAAATATTCGTCAAGATAAGATGTGCAATGCTTTGGTACATAAACTACTATTCATTTTTTTTTCTAAGTATTTAAAATATGCTGTCACTATTTTTTTTTCAGACGCAAGCAGCAATACAACAAAAACAGAGCACATACGTTCCAAATGAATCCTGCTTTATACAAATCTGCGTCACTTCCGGTTCTTGGAGACGCAATTCTTCAAAATCAAGAATTACATGATATAAACATCAGTCGTTCACATAATTGCTTGAATCAAGAAACGCCGGTAATGATTCCAGGAATATTGGTGAATGGAAGACATGATGTCATTTCAGATTACTCCCGCTCAGTAAGTTTTATGGGAATAAACGCAAATGAAGAGCACGTCACAAACAATTTAGATGTCAAAAATCACCTTCCTAACACTCAGGAACAAATTTTTTTATGCCCTTCCCCAACTTTATTCCGTGCCTATTCAAACGCACAAGATATTACAAATGAAATATCAAAGGACGATTATGAACTGGAACCACATATCGTTCGGTCTTACTCAACAACTTCAGAACTTTCAGTAATCCTTGCAGCTGATCATCCTTATAGCTACATAGCAAACGAAAACGACGCACAGATTCCATGCTATGCCAGTAGTAGCAATGATGACTCAGTTTTTCAAAACTGTGCAACTCGGAATCACCAGTATGCAACAATCTCTTTAACATCGGATAATGCCAATGTGACTACGTCTACAACTTATGCTGCTGAGAAATATAATGGCGCTAATTTCAATCCATACTCAGTGGCGAGTGACCCACAAGCAGGTAATAATCAAACAAGAGATTATATTTACTCTGTTGTCTCAAAATAGGCCATGAAACATAGCAAATAGCTTAAAGTATTACAAATGCTGATAAACAAATCGGAAATTCGCAAAATAATTGAATTACGTCGCGGTATGAAGAAACTACAAAATCTATAAGTAAAGGAAGTAGAAACTAAAAATAGCATATCGCACCGAGTGTACAAAAAAGTTTTCCTAATGCAACAGTCAAAAAGAAAATCTGTATTTTTGTCTGCAAAAAATTCTTACTTGACAACAGATTGATAATTGTTTTTGTGGAAAAAGCATATCACTGTTTATTTGCAATGAAGTCCACCTACATTTTGCGCTAATTGATGTGATTACTTTAAAGGCAGAAAAAAAGTGTACTAATAATATATATTAGTCTGTTTATTGATCATTTGTTTTATTTACTTTCCTGAGTTTTCTGTTGTATAATACGATTTGATTGTTCTTTGCAATGTCTATAATATATATGTGTTTTATTTCCACAGTTCTCAAAATTCAAATTCAATCGTGTCTATGATAATAAAATGTAAAAGTATACCGATCCATTTGTCAAATATTCGTCATTACATTGCCCGCAATTTGGTGACGATTTAGCTAATGTCAGTATCTTAATTTTGTAGTGGAGACCTAACGTCACTATAGTTTTTAGAAGATTTATGAAATTTCGGCTTTGAAATATGTCGATTTGTATTTTTGCTTCAAAAAGTCTAAATTTACTTAATTAGAATAACAATTCCCATGGCACCGAGTGTTAATTAAATATTGCAATATTGAATTACATGGAGCTTCCAATTAAACAATCTATTTAGTCAATATTGAGACTTTTAAATGGAGGAAACTAAAAACGCCAAGATGGAACCACAGAATAAAGAAAATCAGTAACTAAAAGATAAGAACTTATGAACACCCACGTGGAGCAAGGATGAACGCAGGATTTAGTAGTACAGGCTACTAAATCGTAATGAAACGCTCTAATAATGAGGCATAAGCTACGGTACTGTAATATGTCACCACATGATCTTAAACGTATGAGAATTCAATGTTCAGTCAGTCAGTAGTTTTTTATCACATACCGAAAATACACATTGGACAAACATAAATAAAAAATGCATTTTAGTGTGAAGAATGACGCGATAAGTCAGTGATGGTTATCGAGCAGCGCCCCCTATAAGGAAGCAAGTCTAACAATTAAGTAATACTAAGGAAAAAAGTCGAACACAAAATACTAACGAAAGCCGGACTTTGAGTTACACTTAAGAGACCGGATATTCCGGTGTCATTCTAGTTCAGGGGTCAGGAACCTTTTTGGTCAAATGAGCCATGAAAGGTACATATTTTCAATTGCATTTCCGTCCGACTCAAAAGTCAACAAATACAATATCAATACATTTAATGTGACTTCTGATGCTGTATGTTGTCGCTGTGGGCCATGAACGGATGCTCACATGCAGCACAAGTTGAAATCGACGATACTCATCAGCCTTCTTTCATTTAGGCACCTCTGTAGTATTTCAAAAACTAGCTTTGCTAGACCGATTCAAATACGACAAATACTGTAACTAGTACGTACAAACGTACGAAAATCTTTCCTCTATTGCTCCTCGACTCTATCGCTTTGTGGTGTCACAAAATATGTTCCAGAATCCCCTAAATTTGTCACAATGCTTGTCTGGTAATTAATTCTCTTAGATAACATGGACATGCGCTGGGCGTGCGTTCTCAAAAGTATTGGCAAATTTTCCACCAAATTTGACTATAAAAGAGTTTGAAATCTCGTAACAATAGTAAGCTTAGCCTTACAATATTAAATTTTTCTGGGAGCCATAAGCCGTCACCAGAAGAGTCATATATGGCTCGCGAGCCATGGGTTCCCGACCCATGCTCTATTTAATGGGAGAAAACGACTCTAGATACGACAGGTCGGAATAACCATGGCAACCGCAGTTAATTGATTAACAATAGAATGACAAGAGAATTCGGAGAATTCAATTACACAAAACATTCAAATTTAATATTCTTAAAAATGAATGTACATGTGTTCGTTATATCGGAAAGCACAAGCTAAAGTACTGCAATGTGTCATCATGTAGTCGTAACAAATTAGAATTCATATGCATGTATTCGTAGTATCGGACTATTTTAAGTTTTCAATGACGTGATTCATTACTTCCGTCATGTGCGTGTAGCCTACTCTCAATATAATGTACTGTAACTACGCGAGAGTTACAGCAAAATGCATTTCATAAAATACGTGTATGTTGCAAAATTACATAGTGTATTACACATACGCATATATAGGCTATGAATCAATAGAAAAATATTACAGCACACTTTGTTACAATTTGAAACAAGAAGATTTACTATTAAAAATAAAATGATGTGGACATGTGGTTCTTGACATCCACGATGTCTTTCATTACCCACTCATAAATTCTTTTGAAATATTAAGATTATATTTTAAGATAATAATTATGTTTTTTACGTACAAGAAAATTAGAATCATTCAGAACTTGGCAATTCATAGGGGTTCTCGTTATCATTTGTTCCTTGTACGGCTATTTCATATTCATTTGTATTCTCTTCAGTCTTTTTATATTCATTATTCGATGCGCTGTCGGCCATGGCATATCGTCCACCTACTAATTCATATTCTTTTTCTGCCATTTCGTAATGATTTGGGGAAGTAGGAATGTCCGGGCCCATTAAATCATGTTCTGAATTTGATGGTTCATATACATTTTCCAATGGAGCATTTTTGTCATTTTTTGCCATTGCATATTTGTTGTCAATATCTACGTAACCTTTGTCAGCAAATGCGTATTGTGTGTTGTCATTATAGTCATTGTTGGCCATATTAGTAGCCATAGCATATTTGCCATCAATATCAACGTATCCCTTATCCGCAAATGCGTAACCTGTTTCCGCTACAAATAGGTTTGTATCTACTCCCATGTAGTCGTGTTTTACTACAGGAATATCTTCATATATCCCGTTTTGTGTGATGTTTGCAGCTGCATTCTCATTACCAACGATGGAAAAATTATTTCCATATTTTGTTTGAGTATTTCCATTCCAAACTTCATAAGTACCAGTATCTGTATTTGCATTAGTGTTGTCTATTCCGTTTGTAAAGTCGTGTGCTTCAGCGTAGGGATTCTCAGATTTAGTAGAAAAAGCTTGTTTTGCTCTGAATGATAAAAAAAAAATTATGTATTAAAATTTCCACCTAATTTCAAATATCCATATAGATTATAGTCACTGATTTTGGCCATCTGCGGAAGAGCGGAAGGGACGAATATTTATTCCACGAAAACGAAAATCATAGTTTACCGTGTGTTTATTGATTTTTCCCCCAATTATTTTTATTCGGCCATATTGTAAAATTCTCCTTAATAATAACTAGAATTGTGAATTTTGCTGCATAGTACATCTACAAACAGACAAAAAATACCCATGAAAACACCTATTTAATTTTGTTTTGAAATACAAAAAGGATATGATTTCGATATATGCGATATATATATAGTATTTTTATTAAATGTGATTAAAGCAAAGAGTGCTTGATTAAAATTATGATGAGTGATAATAAAAAAAATTGATACTATATTAAGTTTTACCTGAAATAAATTTTATTCAGTTTCTATATAATGTCTTTATGAAGGTATAAACTATTAAAAAAGCAAAAATATTTAAATATGTACCTGCGTCTCCATAGCATGAATAGAGTTAACAACAGAGTAATTAGACTTATTAACATTATTGGCACAGCGATCGCTTCAATGTTGGGGTTAGCTGCTGGATTCGTTTCAACAGTCGTATTGGAGGAGATGGTAGTATCCTCGTTGATTGGCCTGATAAATTTACTTCCTGCATTTGTTTCTTTGGGCGTTTTTGTCGTGTCAGTATCTAGATGACCAAAACAGTTTAATTTCTAACAGTTAACTTCTAACTACACAATTTGACCTTTAATATATTCTTGTCGTGTATTACAACATCTATAATTTGTTTATCCGGTGAATTACTTTTGAAGTTTGGTGTAAGGAACATTATTATCAGAAACTCGCGGCAGAAAAGTTTGGGGCACATATGGCGAGGGGAAGAGGAAGGACAATAACGCTTAATCATAAGAAGAACTTTTGTTCCGGTTACCGTTTCATATCGGATTGGTTTGCCACTTTATGCGTTTCAGATGCGTGGACTTGAGGGTCGAAAAAGCTGTAGTCGATTAGCGGTTACGTGAACCACCCTACCACGTTTAGTCTATCAATCCTATCTCTTATATAATTATCCCCAACGGGATGCAAACCTGTGCAAGGCAACCCGAGGTGTCGAGGAACATAATACTATTCCGCATGAAATTGTGGATTACCGTATTGGCACTATATACGAAATGTTATATGATAAATAAACATAGGAATCGCCTAGAAGCTTGCATCAATGCAAAGTTTAAATTATCTGATAATTTAAGATAAAAGTTTGTGGTATAGTTTTACGTAAGAAAACATTATAGTGGAACCAGTGTTGGTAAGACTCCACACAATGACTGGACTTGGGCCTGAAATCAAATACCTGATACAGGTTCTTGAGTCGATTGAAATTGAATTGTGAAAATTTAAATACCACTAGCTTATAGCTGCTATAACTCAAAATATACAGTGTTAATGCTGAGATGAATTTTGTCTATACATGTCTTGTTAATACAGTTTGACTAATAACCAAAATAATGTTCGATTAACTAGAATTTTCAGGTTTTATTGTGACATATGCCTATTCATTTCTTTGTTGTTTATAAAGTCTACTATGACTCCAAACGGTGATGTGATTTATACCTCTAGGTGCGTTAACTTAATTTGACTTAGATTAAAATTTGCTGGTGCCCGAGCTAGACTCGATATTCAAAAAAACCGTGACTCGACTTGACTGGAGTCAAATTGTACTAAACACTTGCAGTGTTGACAATTTAAGTAATTTAGGAAATATTTCATTGCTTAAACTTTATTTAGCGAACAACAAATAACTGCTTTAAAATCTGAACGAGTCTCATACCTGAACAATTGAAAAATCTGTATTTCAATTTGAATTTTTGTGCTGTGAAAGTAACGAAAAACTTTGTCTTTAACTGTATTTTGACACCTTCATCATTCATAGATTTTGGAATGCAGTGAGATAACTCAGATATTGAAAAAGTTATTTTGTTGCATTTTGATGAAGTCGAATACAGGTTACAAAATGGTTTACTGGAAAAACAGTCCAGTTTTTCTGTAAATAAAATATTCATGATATAATAGAATGTAAATTTTCTAAGTTAACGTTTCCCAACATTTTGGGGAGAAATATTGTTTTGTATTCTCGGTAGTATTACAAATATTCTTAAAATATTTATTATTTCTATTCACGCTCATGTAATGAAATACTTGAGCTGTACAAAAACGGGATTACAACTCGCTTGTAAACACTAAAAAATGATCCATTAAGGACTGAACAAATAGAGTAGTTTTATGCGTAGGAAGGGGGAATGAGGAAATGCAATATATGCAGAGTGAGGACCAAAATGATGGGGACTTATAAGTAAACAGTGGCATAAAAACCAACATTCCAACCAAAAAGAATAAAAATTCCTTCTTACCTTCATTTATAGAAAGTGAACCAGAGCAACGTGTTTTTCTAAATCCATCATAAGAAGTCTGTATTTCCAATACATCAATTTCTATTGCGTAGTCTTCAAGATTGTTATTGACAATCCAGTTGCATTCATCATTGTTATAGTAGCTTCCAGGATGACCAGGAGATTTTACAATGCCCGAAGCTTCTGATTCAATTTTAGTCTCTCCAAAACATTGCCCTGAAGCCAGCTTCGATACTGAATAAAAACACAATCCAAGTTGAAAATAGCAAAAAAAAAAATTTAAAATTTTTTTTTGAGTAATTGTACAAAAATCCAGAACGAATAGCTTTCAATATACATTTACACCAATATATATTCACAGAAATCCCATTTCCAAAACAACATATTCCAAGTGCCAGCTTTGGAACCAAATAAAAACTTAATCTACGTTAAATATAGTGAAATATAATTTTAAAATGAAGGTTTGATATCTGTGATAGTTTATTCAAATTTATGAGTAATTATACAACAATCCAGAATAACTAGCTTTTAATATACATTTACACCAATATATTCACAATAAACATAATGGTCAGAGACCACCTTTGATACTGAATAAAAAACCTAATCTAAACTGAATATACTGAAATAAAATTTTAAATGAAACATTGAAATGTACAAAAATTTCCATTTTCTAAGAGATTGTACAAAAATTCCAGAATAAATAGCCATCAATATAATTTACACTAATATATTGACACTAAACATAATTGTGATCAGATGACAGTAACGGAACTGAATGGAAACTTAATTTGAATCGAATATAGTGAACATTTTCAATAACGCATCGAAATTTACGATCTTTTGATTTTTTAAGTGATTATTTAAAAATAAAAAATAAATAGCTTTTATTTATATACATTAACACTGATATATTTCACACTAAACATACTTATGATCAGATGCCAGCTTTGATACTGAATAAAAACAATCCAAATTAAACATACTTGAATACAATTTCGAATAAAGCAATGAAAGTTACAAAAAATCTTTTAATTATTTTGCGAGATTGATAATGAACAGCTTTCATTATAATTTACACTAGACATATCACCTCTGACCAGATGCCAGCTTTGGAATAAATAAAAACATAATACAAGTTAAATATAGTGAAATAAAAATGAAAAAAAGATTATAAACATTATGTAAGATTTTTTCAATTTTTTTGTGATTATATAAAAATGCAGGATTAATAGATCTCAATAATATTCAAATTATTGTACCTACCTTGCAAAATGCTTAGAAGTATAAATATCATTATAAATAGGAATTTCTTCGATATATCAAAATTTTTGAACTAGTAATATCTTAACTGCTTTACTATGTAATATAATTATTAACATGATACGAATTGAACAAGAGTGGGAATACATTTCTAAAGTGACGTAGTTCCGATTCCCATATTATGCAACAGTATTGACTTAACGACGATGTAGAAAAATATGATTTTATTTATATTTCTATAGAACCCTTGATGTGGACAATTGAGCTTGAACATATAAATTAATCATAATTTGTTTTAAAATTTCAATTTGAAGTTTTTTTTTCAGGTTTAAGGGCATATTAGTCTGCGTATATGAAGATTATTGTACTAGTGAATAACGTAGGAAAACAACTTATGCTACAACTTTTTTTAGTGATGTTAAATTATTTCCTGAATCATTCCATGCGCGGTAACGCAATCTCCAGTGACGTAATTAAGTCGTTGAATGAATGTTTGCGTACGTGCGTGTGGGTTATTGCAGCTTGGAATCAAGATCGGGGGTGATGAAACTCATTACTGGATCCTCTATGATTTATATCATGAAAAAAACGGAATATTAAAAACAATTTATCATATTTTAGTTGCATATTCACTTTTTTGGAAATAGTCACAAATTTGAAAAAAAAAAATGACTGGGCTTACTCTTTTTCATTTAAATCCAAACCCTACTCAAATTGGAAATATAATATTTATCCATTACAAATTTATTAAATTAATGGTATAAATTTAACTATGGGAAGTGAAGTCGACAATTGTACTATATCCTGTTAAATAATCACGCGGAATCCAAATATCAGAAATGTAAGTGATTCATTTATTCAGAGCTTTAGAATTCACAATTGACCAAGATTGTAAAATACATCAGGTTATTCAATTATGGAGTGATCATTTAAAAAATTGAGTTGAAAAATAGTATTTGCAGAGATGACGGTGATTTGCTGATTAATTAATTACCTTGTTTATGATACATGTGGAAAAATAGAAAGCCACCGAAGAGCCCACAGAATTTTTTGAAATAAAAAAGTAATAGCCTTGTAACGAAAAATACAATCTTTAACAATTGAAAATTTGGGTCATTAGCGGTAGACCTCACGCTAGTGCACTATCTTGAGGTATATCCATGGCTGCCATCGATATGAACTCAAAAATAAAAACATCAAGGAAACATAAAAATAAGATAACAAAGAACGGAATGTAACATACAAAATGTATTCATGCCAGTGCGACCCGTGTCAAATCATACTTTGCACTAGAATGGATTTGCACCAGCAGTTCTTTATTCCTAGAAACTAGCTGTTTCATCTCTATTCTAAGTTCACTTTCACTGACGCCATGAATACGCGTAGCAATCAATGAAGTTATAAGTTCATTTCTAGCAAATCAATCATTCGAATTGAACAATCTAATTGTTTGGTATTAGAATCTCTACCTCTAAAATGAAAGAAAAAATAAGGACACATGACATGTCAAAATAAGAAATTTTCTTAAAAATAAGGACAATATTTTTTTCTAAGATAAAGACATTCGAAAAAAGGACAAATGGTAGAAATAAGGACGTTTTGGTGGCCCTGAATATATCCCACACTATAGTTTTGGTGGCCCATACGCTATTGTAGCCCGTCCTATTTTTTTCAAAATTTATGTGTATCGATTGGCATCTCAAAATATCTATGTGTGTATATGCGTTAACGTGACTAGCTTTGATTGATAAGTTGTTAACTAATGATTAATATCGGGTACTTGTCAGTATGACTGATTGATTATTTAAATCATGCATTTAGAAATAATAAATAATTACAGTTGTCCTTGTGTGCAAATGGTCACTTATCCGACATTGGTGGAAATTATCAATGATCAATGTACTTGCAAGAAAGGTCAGTCAGTTCACCAATGATAGCTAGCAACTGTCGTTGACGTATAAGCTAGGGTTTTCCCTGTGTACATTATCGAACTCCCTCCGCTTCGTTCCGCTTCAAACTGGTTTCACTGTCAATCATTTCTCCGTTCTATTTAATCCGCCTCAATCCAGATTGGTAGTCATTTAGCATTTGTTAAACTGGTTGTTCCGTCATGCAGTACGTCGGGTTTGACAAAACTTTAGCTGTGAGGAAATTTCAAGAATATCTTCGCATTAAAACGGATCATCCAAACCCTGACTACGAAAGGGCGAATGAATTTCTTATAGAATATGCTGAAGAGTTGCAAGTAAAGGTAAAACTAGTTCCAATCGGAGATGGGGAAAGATCGATAGTACTGATGCTTATACCAGGAAAACAACCAGAGCTGCCGTCTATTCTTCTCAATTCACACATTGACGTAAGCTGCGCGGATTATGCCAATTGGAAGCAAGATCCATGGTCCGCGTACAAAGATGATATTGGAAATATTCACGGTGTCGGGGCCCAGGACATGAAATGTGTTGGTATTCAGTATTTAGAAGCTATCAGGATTTTGACACTTTTAAGAAAAGAACGTTTTGAACGGAACATTTATATTTCGTTTATTCCTGATGAACAAATCAACGACGGTTCATTGGGAATGACATTATTCATTCAAACGCAGGAATTTAAAAACATGAATGTAGGTTTCGCTATGGATGAAGGTTTAGCCAATCCTCTGGACCAATATTCAGTATACTACGGAGAAAAGATTCCGTGGTGGGTACGCGTCAAATGTCAAGGACAAGGAGGGCACTCGTCGAATCTAATAGGACAGTCTGCCGCTGAAAAGTTTTCTCGTGTAATAGCATCATTTATGTCTTTTCGCGAAGGTGAAATCGAAAAATTGAAAAACAATTCCACCTTGCGAGTAGGAGACGTCACGTCCATCGAACTCACCGTGCTTGGAGGTGGAGAACGCCCAAATTCGATACCTCCTGATTTTTCAGCCACGTTTGACGTCCGAATTCCACCCTCGGTTAACTTAACCGAGTTCGAAGAGATGTTAACCGGATGGTGTCAACAAGCGGGCAAAGACGTCACACTTGAATTTTTATACAAAGGGATGTGTCAGGTGACAACTCGTAGTGACGAATCTAGTCCATGGTGGATCACTTTCACTGAAGCACTTCGAGAAAACAATCTGAAGTTTTCTAAAGAAATTCACCCCGCATTTTCAGACGGTCGTTTTCTGAGGGAGATCGGTATTCCGGTAATAGGATTCAGCCCAATGAAAAATACTCCCATCGCCCTTTTCACATCAGATGAATTTTTGAACGAGGATGTATTTTTGGATGGTATTAGGGCATACTGTGCCGTTATTAGTGCCGTTGCTAATTTGGACACGGAGTGGGCTTGCTGATCATTTTCTACATTGTTTTCTCTGTTTTTGTGTTGGGTTGTTATTGCAAAAAAACATTTTCCATTCAACTAATTTACCGGGCCATTTAATTTTGTTTATGCCACAGATATGCGTTATTGCAAGAAGACAATATGAATTTTCCTTTTTACCCCTATGGAGTCTTGCGGTATCCGATATTTCACCCTATGTTTTGTGAGTTTTTTATAATTCAATGCATTACTTTGGCCAATTCAGTCACTTGATATTTGTGTCCACATATGGTACATTGCTCCCTCGTTTTCAATTAATATTGCTATTCGATACCATGAATTTACAATTTCATTAAATTGAATGTATATCATAAACTCATGCCTCATCGTATTTACTCTTTCTTTATGTTATTTGTTCATGTTATTATTTTTATTGGATGAAACATCTTATAAATCACAGTTGGTCAATCTTTGTGTTTAACATTGCAATGCACAGTGGCAATACATGACTAAAACAAACACGAGCCGTTCTAGATACCGTGTTGTGACCTCTGTAAAAAATTGATCAGAAGATAACCCTAAAGTGAGTTTATGCTATGGCGATGCGATCATAGTTGAACCCAACTTCTTAACCACCACGCCTCCACTACGCCCACAAATGAATTAGTCAATAGGCTTCGAGTACAAGTTATATGTCGGTTATAAGGAGCAATGGATGAATCCCACCGGACACGATCGCGGTTATATTATCATGGCATATGAATTCAAAAATGTTTGATGACGTCAATTTAGGTGGTAAATTTAGCCGCTGCATAAAACAAACAATGTAAAGCAAATCTAACGGTAGCAATGGCAAGATTATCGAGCCGCGACACCCGAGGTTCAATATCTAACCTAATTTGTAAGGAAATTACGTTTTTAGAACACTTTTAATATGAATGGCTTCGGCACCTGAACCACATATAACATCCAAAAGACATGAAAATTATACGAGACGACCATAAATTGTACATGGCAACATCTCTAATCGAACCCACCAGATAATTTATGGGGATTCCAAATTGACAGGCACTGAAATGTGTAAATTGATTGAGGTATACTAGTTGCTATGGTAACGTGAAATCGATCAAGTGGAGCAGTTCAAATCGATCGAGTGGAGCAGTTCGGTCCGGGCATTGATATACACATGATGGGATGGATGGTAATGAGAAGACTCAATAACTACAACCACGCACTACAGCGTACACTATATCCAATGAACTTAAACGCAGCTAGAAATATTATTTTAACCCTACAACGCAAAGTTTTTCTAGAGCGCTGTCATAAATTAAGGAAATGTCAGTCAGAACATTAAAACTGTTTAAAGGGCAAGCTATTTTAAAAACACTTGAGCTCCCAGCAGATTAGTTATGTTTGCGAAACCACAATTTCAACTGGAGGAAAAAGTTTGGAATAATTATGTAAAATATGTTGTGTTTGATGTATGAATCGACTAAGCCACTACATACAGATATTCTGCGTTATATTAATAATTCATACACAAGGGTGGCAAAGTTGCATAGTTTTTTTTATTTTATTTGCACTACGCATTTAAACGCCTTCGATTTAGACAAGGCTCTTTTGACACTTCTATACATCGATCTACTGAATATTCCGAAGACGTAATATGAAACTAGATTTTAACCAGTTCAATCCAACGCTTCAACCACCACGCCTCTACTACGCCTCTAAATGCATTAATCAATAGGCGTCGAGTATATGCCGGTACAAGAAGCAAACGACGAATCCCACTTGACACGGTCGTGGTTATATTATCATGGAATATGAAGTATTTGGTGACGTCGAATTATGTTGTAACTAAAATCATTGTCAAAACAAACAATCATAAGCAAATACAAGTTTAGCGATGGTAAAATATCCGTTTTCATAATAACGGAATTATAAAGCTATGATGTGCTTAATTCTGAAACCAAAGTTGATCACTAATGGTTGTTAGCAACTGTCGCTGACGTATAAGCTAGGGTTTTCTATGTATAATCAATCGAACTCTCCCTTTTGCCATTGCCAATCTTGTGAATGACAAAATATCGTATTTTTATTGTATTGTATTTTCCGGGAAATTAAGTCCTGTTTTCATTAATTAAATTCTGTGCGGCACAGTGGAGCAAGATAGTTAGAAAAATGTCAAATAATTTAATTTTTCACGTACTACGACGGTTAGTTATATTTATAAAGCAATAAGACCTGATCGATTGTTTGACCTTTTCCTTTTTTGACTCCCCTCTTTCACCACTATGCACAGAAGTACACTGAATATCGAATTATCTTGAAAGTTTGATAAAGTTACAAACCATTTGCAAATACGGCATAACATATTTCATTTGTTTCAGTCACCAAAATCTTTTTAAATCTTATAGAAAAAACAAACCATAAGATAAAACAACACAATCATTAAATATTACTACGATGTTTTCACCAACTGCGTGCCACAGAATTCTTTGATTTCGATAATTGCCCATATTGTCTGACTCAAAATATTTCCTTGTGTCACTATGCGCAAATAAGAGGAACACAAAATACTGTTTATAGAAATAAATAAATTAAAATCATGCTATAAATGTGACAGATTTATCCCGTATGTTGTTTACCCTTTTGTCCTCCAGTTTGTTTTCTTGATTTGATTTGAATATTGCTTGCTAACGGCTAAAATTTCACCAATGATACCGAAATATTGAAATTAAAAAAACGCAACTACTCTAAAGCCAGTGATTCAAAAACAACAAGCAATAAACAAAGATAAAAAGAATTTATAGGTTTAGGATAACCTTAACCTAACATTAAATTGTGCTGTGCTGATGAATCACAGGCAAATATAAATCTTAAATAGTAAATGCATATGAATTTGCAAAATGAAAAACACAATGCTTATTTTAAGTCGTCCTCACCAGTTTATAGTGTCACCAAGAAGCGGTTTTCATCTTGAAATGAGTCCCTTGCAAAAGCTCTATGCCGCTTGTGATGCATGCATAGACACTTATATTCCTTAGTTTATATGATTTTTTTGCGTTGATTCATACTTTTGTAATGCCCAATGTGAGGTTATTCCGAGATATAAGTAAGAGATTTATCTGGTAAAGCATAAATACAAAAAGCATGATATTTCCAAGTCTTAAAACAATTATGAAGATAAAGCAGTTCGTTACATAATTAACTTTTTTTTAATGAACTTTTCATCGAATATAAAAGTAAAGCTTTCTTGAAAATCTTTAGAAAGTTGAAGAAATTTCATAATATACACTTGGGAAGATGCCATGAGTAGATGACCAATGCTGGCGTTCAAATATTCATCATCTAATTCAACGTAAACACTTCACCGGTAATATATCTGTAGACAATACGTTCAAACTCGTTCCAGTAGTCAGTATTTAGGATTTTATTTTCTCACCATACAGAAAATACACTTTATGCGAACAATAACGAAAGAAATTCTAAGAATTTTAAATGTATCATTTCAAGGTAAAGGAAGACGCGAGAAACCAATACTGTTTAACAAGCTGCGACACCAGCAATTAAATCTAACAGTGATTAATACAGTAGAGAAAGTTTACAAAAAAAAATAACCCTATACACACAAAAATATGACCTCAAGCACAACCAAGTACGCTAACCCTAGGAACGACATTCCATTTGAGTAACTAAAATAGTTCAAAACCGTACAGTTTTTTTTATATTTGAGCTGCGTCTTAAACGCACCGAATTGACATTTTAACGATAAACGACCATTGTTTTATACGTTATACCAAATTTTTACATTCAGGTTTATACCAATAACGTAAAATCATTTCGCCGAGTTGCATGATAAATGCTTGAATAACGCAGTAACGAAATTAGCAAATTACTTGATTATACCCATTTATTGTCATGGCTGCCCTCGTTTATTGACAACTCTATTCAATGTCGGGCGAGGTAGTAGACAGACAATGTATAACGAATGTCAAGTCGGAGTCGTCCTTTGGTTTCGATTTTTATTGTTTTGAAAATTTTAAAATGGCGATGAAATGTTGAGTTAATTAATCTAACAAACAAAATGTTCTATCATCTTGGATTCCAGTTTGTTAATTTAAACCACTCATAACCAGGCCCGCCAAGCCATTTAGTGTGACCTTTATCAACACTCAAGTTTTCCCTATAACGCGTAAAATTCTAATCCGATAGTTTGTTGGAGAAGGCGCTCACATGAATATAAATACATAATGTCTTTTGCTCTTGTCGCTGCGTTAAATCATTCGCTGTTTTTTCCGGTGCATTTATCACTATAAGGCTAATCGATAGTCGCATTCACTTCCCTTTCCTTTCATGCTAAGTTTTTTTGTGTGGTCCGGCAATATGTCTGAGGTCTATAATATGGCTCGCAGATAAAATATGGTGCGCACCACTGTTCTGCAGTGTTTGCAGTTGGAGCGAAATTGCATCTTTATATACAAATTCGCGTCAACATCACGTATAAGATAAATTCCTTTGGGAGCCGATGGGTGTATGGACAAGTAATAGTCATTGGGTGAAGTAATACATTATATAAATTTCAATCAGTTCTTGAATCAATAGGATATTATTAATATATGTTATAAATTCTTATTACGAATGTTTAAGAACACTGAGAATAACAAATATTCTGCTCCAATTTGCGCAAAATATTTCATAAAAAAATAAATTAGAAGCCTTCTTGAACGCGATGAAGGAATAATATAAATTTGAGACGATGGCGTAAGAACAGGAGCGATGCTAGCGTTTAAATTTCCAGCACGCATTTTTGCTAAATCAATTTACGAATCGACGTAACGCCTTATGAGACCATTTTTCTGATCTCATCATGAAGTCCGGTGTTAAACCCTTAAATAAATAAATAAACATTTGGCGGCATTGCTGACAACAAAACGTGATGGACTCGACTGTAAATATGACCTTTCGAGTCGACGCAATGTCTTTCACGATCTTTGTCAGTGACAGCCGTAACCTTTTGCGTTGGGCGCATTTCAGTATGTTATAGTTTCTACGGTGTAATATCCTCAGTATTCTCTTGTTCAAACTGGTTTAATCCAGTATTCGGACAGTAAATGGTAACAGTGAACACGCGCAACAGCGGATGCATAATTTGATTTTTAGATTTATTGATATGAAATCAGACTCTTGGAAACCATGCAATGCAAATCGTTTCTACAAATACACGAAATGTATAACTATCTGATGCTGAATGTGATTCATATGTCAACGATAGAGTTTGCTGTCATTAATCAACAACCAAGGTTGTGAGGTCATCTCACGTTTAACAAGATTTCAATTGATTTTTTGCAATATTAGAAGCGTCATACACATTAACAATATATCTTCAAAAAAAGTTCATTAACCTTGTAATTATGTTTGTTCGCTCGACCCGCAGTTTGAATAGTTGTAGCTGATATGATCTGTAATTTTTTCCGTGTGTCATGTATTTTACATAAATTCCACAACATAAGATATTTTTAAA